GAGTATGTTTGCATAATTTCCCTGTATGCATAGTAAGTTAAATGATTATGAAACCTTTATATGCTATGCTGATCCTAAAGGGAGAGAATGAGAGCAGATGGTCATATAGATGTCTCTTGAAACTTTTAAACTCTCTACCAGATCAGTTGGCTTCAAACTGCCCCATTGCTTTAAGCAAGTTGGAAGTGGAATTGTTGCAGACACTTTGATAGATGTTAATGAGGAAATAGCTGTCAAGATTTTGTATGACATAAATTATGTTCATATAGTTTTTTTCACCATGCTGCATTTTTCAAAGTACAATTTATTTTTTAAGTTAACTGAGTCTACTTCAAAACAACAACAGCAATAACAACAAAGTATTACAGTATGTATGCAGAAATCTAGACACCATGGAGCAAAATCCAAGCCTACTCCCTAAAATACTTAGGGGAAGAGGGAAATCCTTCTGATAGCATTGTCCTGCCTTGTTCAGAATCACTCAATCCCTATTGCAGTTGGCTAGGTGGACCCAAGATTAAATTAAAAAGGCACAAGATTGAAATCAGAAAGTAGTGTCATGAACATCTGACATCAAGAATTTAGTGGAAGAAATGAGCTAAACACTGAAAGAAAGTTAGGTCCAAGAAGGGGTCAGGAAAGAGCCAGATGACAAAGTTCCACAAAGCTGATAGTTGGTTACAGATATAGCTCAAGCAACTAGTAAGCCTGAACTGGAGAGTTTTATACTGAAACTCTGAAACAGGCTGCCGCACTGGTGAGTTCTCTTTGGTTAGAGATTTCAAACAGAAGCTGGATGGTTATGTATCAGGTGTTTTAATGGATCCTCCACTGAGCAGGAGAGTCAACCTTTAAAAATCCCTTCCAACCTTACAGTTCTATAATAGCCTGGGCTCAGAGGCTTGCCCAAAGCACAGCTGTAGTCAATTTTCAGGATTTCAGAATTGCATTGTGTGCTAATACTCACAGATAGCCCTTGTTTCTGAGCCCCTAGGTGCCCATTTCCCCACCAATTGGTTGCTTGGATTTGTACTCTCTGATGCTAAAGTTTCCTAAATGGAGAGTACAGCCGAAAGTTTTTCATGGTTTTGTGCTGCTCCAGGAGGACCCCAAGACTGCCAGAGACTTGTGCTGGAAGGGGAGTTATTGAAACTCCCTACATAATAGAAAGATTAGATTCTATTCCTAGCTCACAAGTTCCCAAAAGTTCCTGTTACATAATCCCAACATTTGGGCTCTGAGCTCTAAAGAGTGAATTTCACCCATTGTGTTTCTATACTTGGATACATAATTGTATGATATTTCAAATTATATGGTACACATGTTTCCTAAGAAACTAAGCCTCATCATAACTCATGCTTCTTCCTTTGCTGTAGTATATGTGTTGAAAAACATCCTCCAACAGAGATACATCATGAAAGCAGAAGTGTTTTTAAAATTTATTTTTCAAATTGGGCTAAAGGAAAGTCAAGGTAGGCTTTTAAACAAGTTCATTTGCCACATAACAATGGTTCTCACTATATTTAGATTATTTTCAGACATTCTAAAAGAGCTTGAATGGAGGACAGAGGATGTGCAAGACACTTGAACTTCCTCAGATTTTCCTGCAGAATTAGAGACGGTTTTTAACGAGTTCATGACTCTTTCTATACACTATTCTCACTTTCATCTCTATGAAATGGGCTTTACAAGTTTGTGTTTTGTTTTATTTTCACAGAGAAGTTTCAAAACTTTAAAACCCATAAAAATGCAACAATTTTAACGCAAAAACTTCAAATTAAAAAATATTGAAGCAGCTTTTTTTTTTCCAAAAACAGTTTAGCTAAACACCAATTAGAATAAAAGTCCCTGTAGAGTTTTTTGTTACCTTGCTTGCTTTTTGTTTTTTGTTTTTTTAAAGATTCAGCAGTGATAAGGGTTTATCTCTGTTCCAAAATTAGGATGCAACATTGAGAAAATCCTGTCTCTTAGCAACTGATGTGGGACAGGTAGTGACTACCCAGCTTCCCTAAGAGGGCTAAGATAATGTAGGAGCGTTGGACTGTAATTCAGACACCTTCTTTGTAAGCTGCCTTGAGCTTCCAAAAGAAATGGGGGGGGGGAATATAAATGCAGTGATAAATAAATGGATATTCTAGTCAGTGCATTTTGAACCACCTGTGCTTCCTGCAGCATCTTCAGAGAGTTCTATATTGTGACTTTTAAAAAGCCTAGCACAGTCTGATGTGATAGTGGTGATAATAGTAACACATTGTGTCTTGTTTTCATATAACCCAGCTAAAAGCATATCTCAGAAACAATAATAATAAAATACAATATCAATAAGTAATTATCAGTATAAAGTAGATAATACTTTAAAATAGGTAAATCACAGTAAAATCTATCTGCAAAAGCCCATGAAATTAAAATCATTTCTAGTGAATAAGACTCAGAGTCATTGATTAGTATTATCCTGATCATGAAAGTATACTGCTCAAGAGCTGTGTAATGTTTCTTAGAAAAAGGGATATATACAGGAGAATATAAGCTATGCCTGCAACCATTTACTGCGAATGTCTGCTGTTTTTCAGCTCAGATTGCTGTGGGGTACTGTATTGTAGTGGCAACTTGTAAAAGTCACGTTTGTCAGCCAAAACCCTAGCAGATACTTCAGCTGTACCAAAAGAATGGAAAGTACCATGTGATCACAGGTTCCTATGGTTGGGATTACTACCAATATACCATGCTTACAGAAGCGGTTATTTTCCCTTTAACACTATCGTGTTAGCATGTAAGTTGAAACTAATATGTTCAGATTGATAGTTTACCTGACATTACTAGGGGTCAAGAAGATGCAAGCAAATTCCAGAAGTTACAGCTGCTGCATGAAGAGACTGTGTCAAGTGATTTCCACATGATGCTTTCCATAGACTTTGTTCCGGATCAATGCTTTGTAATAGTGTTGTCTTTAAAACAGAGATGGAACATAGCAGGGTTTTGTTTAATGTGAAGAGAGGCTTTAAATTGTAATCTGAGTGCCTTCAGTTGAAAAGATACTATTGACCTAGGGTCAAATACCTATTACCTCTATTGACCGCTGATCTGGTAGCACCTGGTTAAAAGAAATTGTTAGGCTACTTCATATAAAATACATGTGGAAACAGTTTCATGAGGAAAAATTATCCTCTCAGTGATCAAAGCATTATCAGTAAGTGATTTGCATTGTTGGTTGATACTTTTTTAAGAGGTTCTATTTCTTGGTATCTTAGATTTCACAAGTAAGGAATGTTACATGGAGAGTTTTCAGCAAACTACTTTTTACAGGCTAAGCATGCAAGCTACATAAATATATTTTCTAAAAAAATGTCCTTGCTCTGCTCCTGATCTAGTATGGGATAACGTAATGGCTGAAAAGTAGAATCCCAGAGGCTGAGAGTATTAAGGCTTTCCATACGTTTTCTCTTTTCCTTACCCAAGTTCACTTCCATAAGTCATGTTACACTCAATAGCACAGAGGAAAGTAAGTAGACAATCGTGAATGAATATAATTAAATAACTAAAGGCCAAAAGAACCTAAAGAATGCTATGATATATTACTAAAGAAATAGTAATTTTCAGTAGCTTTTCAAAATGGCTGCCTTATTTAAAAAATAAATAACTGGAAGCTATGCCAGAGGTCAATCTTATCCCATAATTTCATCATGCTACTGGATTGCAAGCTGCACAGTGTGTTTCATAGTAGTTATTTCAACCAGGTTGCTTCTACCTATATTAAGAAATACTCAAAATCCAAATATAACGTGTGAATCTAGTTATGAACTTTTCTGCAATGCTGTTTTGACGGTGATTTTGTCTGATTAAGAGTTCTGTTTTACCAAATCAAACCTTTTCTATTTTTTTTCACCTGCTGCATTAATAGTGACAATTGCAAATATTTGCATAAGCTGGCATTGCACAGTAGTAATGGTTCTAGTCAGTTTTTTAATGTTTGCAAAAGGCTTTTGACCCAGAAAGGTTTTTCCAAGTAGAAACGGGGAGAAGTAATGTCCTTTCCTCCTGCCCTTTCCTGTGCAACCCCTAACTAGGGGCACTTGTAGTGGGAGAGGGGTCAGAAAGTCAAGGTGATGCAACATGAGGCAGGGGCAAGGTTTCAGTCACACAGTTGTGGCTGCCAATTTGACTTTTTGACACACACATTCTCTGAAGACCACCTGTGTTAAACTATATTGGAGAATTCTTTCAAATTTTTAAACCAGTTTTTTTCAGAAAAAGGAGGAATAGGAATTAATGGAAGGGATGAAGGATAGGAGAAAATCAGGTTCTTCCCTCCCTGAAGTCAAAGACTGAAAGCACCATGTGAGCAGAAGTCCATTCAGGGAGTAGGGATCAAGTCATATTTATTTCTGTGAGTTTATATGATAAACACAGTTGGTCTTGGTCCTGATACATTCATGAAAAACAATTGAGATAATCAATTTTTGCAAAGAAACCAACATTCAGCCAGTTTGCCTTTCACCAAATAATTCACAATTCTTCTGAAGCTCATAATGCTGAAAGTTAATGCTTTCTTTTTGAATTTTTTCACCTTCTGATATTTATTTATATAGTAAGGCCATCATAATCATAAATCAATATGTTTTCATCTGTGAAACTATATTAGAATGCCACTATTAAGCAATAATGATTTCAATGAATGGAAGAAAGCTTAAACAAGGATTTTGAAAAATAAGTGGGGCAGGAAACACCCAACCAAGCAGCCGGCCAATCCCTTTAATACAAAGGAAATGTAGAAATTGTAGCAAGGCAGGATAGAGAAGACATATGCATTACCAATTTTTAAAAGATTTGCAATGGATGAATTTTTGCCAGCAATGACAATATATGTTCCTAACCCCTTTCTGCTTTTTTCTAACCAGAAGTTATAAAATATCTGATCTAGATATAGAATAATATATTCTGAATGTGTTGTACCTCTATGTTACTCTTGTCTTTTGTTCCCTTTTTTATTATTATTACTACAGGCTGTTCCACCACCTAACTTTGAGATGCCAGTTTCTATCCCGGTGTCCAACCATAACAGCTTGGTATACAGCAACCCAGTTAGCTCATTGGGTAACCCCAACCTTTTGCCTCTGGCCCACCCTTCCTTACAGCGGAATAGCATGTCTCCTGGGGTGACACATCGACCACCAAGTGCAGGTAACACAGGTAGGCTTTATCCAGTTCCATCTCTTTGCTTCAAATACAGTGCTTCTGCATCTACCCATTGTAACTTGCAAAGCAAGAGTATTCTAACAATGTTTGGGTTCCCCAAAAATCTACTGACTATTTGCCAATATGAATATCCCACATTTTTTGAAAAAAAAATGGAACAACCACAGAATCTTGTCCAGCTTTTTCCAGCCTTTAGCAAGCCCAATGTACTTATAGCAGCACCAGGTTCTTGACGGACACATGTTTTCTCATCTCTTTCTTAGAATGGAATTTCTTTGAATGACCATGGGAAGGCCATTCCTCAAGCCTTTCATTTTATGTGTGTGTGTGCACACGCACACGCATGCGTGCACGTATGCATACAGTGGGGCAAAAAAGTATTTAGACAGCCACCAATTGTGCAAGTTCCCCCCCTTAAAAAGATGAGAGAGGCCTGTA